CCGTGGGGTGGCGCGGCGGAGCAGCAGCTGCAGAGCGCGCTGCTCCCCGACAACCTGCTGCGCGATTCCTCCCCCTCTGCCTCCGCAGTCGCCGCAGCTTGCCCAAAGCCCTCCGTGCGCCGCACGCGCACGCGGTCGCAGCGGCAGACGCGGGCGAGCGCGGGCAGCCAGCTGCAGATGCGGTCGCGATCGCAACTGCAGGGCGGCTCGGGCAATCAATCGGATGGCGAGGTGGACGGCGGCGGCGCGCTGGACGGGTCGTCGGACGACGACGAGCTCTTCCGCCCCATGCCGCCGCGCGCGCTGGGCGGCTTCGGCGCGCGGTCTGGCAGGTGGGGGGGCGCGAGCGGCGGAGAGCGCGGGTCCGTACTGGAGGCGTGGCAGCAGCGCGAGCTGGCGCAGGTGGAGGAGAAACTGCGCCACGCGGGGGACGGCGGGGGGTTGGGGGCAGGCGCACTGGCGGGAGGGAGCCAGCGGCGGGGAATGGATGGACAGGGGGAAGAGGGGGGTAGGCTAGGGGGAGTGGCCGTAGGCGGGGACAAAGGAAAATGGGGGGTTGAGGCAGAGGAGGTCGGCGCAGCGGAAGGGAATGGTAGCGGAGCAATAGTCAGAGGCGCACAGGATGATGCGTTGGCCAATGACTTGATGACACGTGGGCTCTTGGATGATGCTGAAAGAGATGCGCGGGAGGATGGCGGAGGAGAGGGCGAGGGCGAGGAGGGAAGGCGGAGGACGGAGCAAGGGAACGACGAGAGTGTGGGGGAGGGGAGGGGAGGGGAGGAGGATGGCGGAGGGAGGGAGGCAGGCGGTGAGGGGATGGTGGAGGGCGCAGAAGGGCAAGAGGACGGGGAGAGAGATGGCAACGAAATGGGTGAGGAGAGGGGAGAGGATGGGGGCGGAATGGAGGGGGGATGCAGTATGACTGGGGCAGAGGGGGAGGGGGATATAGAGGCGAATACTGCAGAAGTGCACACGGGGGAGGAGGGGGAAGAGCAGGCGCAGCAGCAGGCGCAGGGGCAGGAGCAGCAGGAGGGGGAGGAGCAGGGGGAGGCTCATGGGGAGGGCGGGTGGGCCAAGCTTATGCGGCGCAATGCCACAATGCAGGCGGGGGGGGGCAAGGCGGAGAGTGGGGGGGGCGGGGGGAGCCGCCTGGGGCAGCTGCTGCGGAATGGGACGTTCAGGCGCACGAAGGAGGGCGAGGAGCGCCATGGCAGCCGCCTGGCGCGCGTGGCCACTGCTGTGCGCGCCGGACTCAAGTCAAGTAAGGGGAGGGGTGCTGTGAGGTAGATTCAAGACGAGTTAGGGGACGGGTGGTGTGAGGTAGCCTCAAGCCGAGTTAGCGGAGGGGTGGTGTGCTCATTTCTTTATCTGCCACCCGCTCATCTCGCCCTGCTGCTCTGCCGTGTCCATTCAGGCTCGTCCTTCAATGCACGGAGGCACCCGCAGCAGCACGAGCAACAGGAGCAGCAGCAGCAGCAGCAGCAGCAGCAACACCTGCAGGAACAGCAACAGTAAGGCCACGCGCCCCTCCCTAATACCTCACGTCCAAACCCCCGCGTCCAAAGTCTCCCTTTCCCCCCAACCCGTAATGGCCCCAGTCTCCTCCCTTTCTGTGCGCCGTCTGCTCTCATCGTGCCCACACCGGCTCCTCACGCAACTCCCACACTCTCTCCTCCAGCATACCCCTGTCCACCAAACATGCACACCCCTCAGCCCCTCTCTCCCTTCTCCCCCCCCATCCCCGCGTGGCAGGGAGGGCAAGGGCTTTGAGGGGCTGGCGGCGCCCAAGCGGGTGCAGTTCCAGATGCCAGAGCTCGAGGTGAGAGAGGTGGGGTTGAGAGAGGTGGAGGTGAGAGGTGGGGTTGAGAGAGCTGGAGGTGAGAGGTGGGTTTGAGAGAGGTGGAAGCCGCCCTCCCGGACGCTGCTGCTGAGCTGTTTCGGGAAGAGCGGGCTTCTCCCGACCCACCCAAGCTGCAGCGGGCTTTGACTCTGCAGGTCCAGGCAGAGCGCTTCACCACGCTCCTGCAGGAAGCTCGCCAGCTACCCCTGAACCCGCTCCAAGGGCATACCCAGCGCCTCCTCTCCCTTATGGGCCCGGGGGCGGGGCATTGCTATTTTCTGCTTAAGGCCTTCACAAGAACAAGGTAGAAGAGGAACCGCTGCCGCGGTTCTCCCGCCCCTCGCACTATGCCTTCACCCTCCTCACCTCTCCACCACCCCATGCAGTTTGCGACGGACGGGTTTGCGGCGGAGAACATACTGGGCGAGGGGGGGTTTGGCAAGGTGTACCGCGGGCTGCTGCCGGTGGCGCCGCGCGTGGAGGTGGCGGTGAAGGTGCTGAAGCAGCTGGGCGTGGCGGCGGACGAGGAGTTCCACACCGAGCTCGAGCTGCTCTCCCGCCTCGACCACAAGAACCTTGTGCGCCTCCACGGCTTCTGCTCCTCCGCCCACCACCGCATGCTCGTCTACGAGTTCCTCCCCAACGGCTCCCTCACCGACCACCTGCACGGTGCGCCCCTCCTGCTCCGCTACATGCTACGCTGGCCGCCGCACAACACTCGCAGGGTTCCTTCATTCCTCGTGTCAATCCCCCCTGCGCTGCACGGCTTCCCCGTGTCTCCCATCTCTCTCTCTCCTCCCCCACTCACACCCGCAGGCCCCCCAGGAGCCCCCGAGCTGTCGTGGGAGCGGCGGGTGCGCATAGCGGCGGGGGCGGCACGGGGGCTGGCGCACCTGCACCGGCAGCGGCCTCAGATCCTGCACCGCGACGTGAAGGCGCCCAACATCCTGCTCACCACCAACTTCACCGCCAAGGTGCGCATTTGTAAGGTTAACGCACTCTAGTAAGCGATGCCCAGTTGTCTTTGTCCCTTGGAATGCCTTCTCGATCGTCCGCTTCTGCACTGCAGCCAGACTTAGGTCGCAACAGCGAACGCCTTTCCTCCCATTCAAATCCTTACCCTCACTCAGGTCCTTCCACCCATCCCCCTCACCCCCCCACCTTCCCCTCCCCAGGTGGCGGACTTCGGGTGCGCCAAGCTCATCCGGCGCACGGAGGTGGTGGAGGACCCTTTAACGGGCCGGCAGGTGGAGCGGCTGTGTGACAGCGTGGACTACGCCATGGGCACGCCCGGCCACATGGCGCCCGAGATGCTCATGACGGGCGAGATCAGCGCCGCCACCGACGTGTACAGGTGGGGGAGAGGGGCAGATGTGGTGCGTCTATGCTCCATTAACTGTACAGGTGGAAGGTGATCTGCTGCTGTACAGGTGGAAGGTGATCTGCCGCTGTACAGGTGGTGGGGGGGGTATGGTACTCGCTGTTGCCTGCCGTTCCGATGGCTGGGTGTGCATATCTGTGCTTTCTCCAACCATTCGCCCCCTCTCATTCACCCCCTGCGCCTGATCAGTTTCGGAGTGGTGCTGCTGCAGCTGGTGTCTGGGCGGCTGCCGATCGACGCCGCCCACCAGCAGCTGACGCACTGGGCGGCGCCGCTGCTGGAGGAGCAGCGGTGGGAGGAGCTGCTCGATCCGCGCCTGCAGCGCGCACTGCTGGGGCGAGCAGGCTTGGGGGGGGTGGAGGGGAGGGAGGGCGGAGCAGGGGCGGGAGCGGGAGAGCTGAGGCGGCTGTTGGAGGGGCGGTCGGTGAGTCGGTGTCTGCAGCTGGCGGCGTCGTGCCTGGACATGGACCCGCTGCAACGCCCCTCCATGGAGGACGTGGCGCTCGCCCTGCTCGCCATCTACAGCTCAGGTGCTGCCATCTACAGCTCAGGTGCTGCCATCTACAGCTCAGGTGCTGCCATCTACAGCTCAGGTGCTGCCATCTACAGCTCAGGTGCTGCCATCTACAGCTCAGGTGCTGCCATCTACTGCTCAGGTGCTGCCATCTACAGCTCAGGTGCTGCCATCTACAGCTCAGGTGCTGCCATCTACAGCTCAGGTGCTCGCCCCAACTTCCGTTTCTCTCTCCCCCCGCCCACTCGTTCCTCACTCCCATCTCCGTCCTTCCTGTCTCTCCGCCTCCATCTCAATCCCCACATTCCACCTCTCTCCCCTCCAACCCTCCCAGCCTGTGCAGAGCGCGACGAGGCACTGCAACCAGCGCTTGAGGGCTCCAGAAGCGGCCGAACGCTGCCGCCCGCTGGACCCTCAGATCCCACAAGGGGGGGAGGTGGGGGAGGGAGTGGGGTGTTGGCGGGTCACGGGGGAGCGATGGTGGGGCGGGCGGGAGGGGCGATGGGAGGCAGTGCGCGGATGGCTGGAAGTGCGGGGGGCATGCAGGGCTTCTCTGAGTCGCCGGAGCGGACAGCGGGCGTGGCTCAGGCCAGATTCCAGAGGTGGGCTTGGTGGGGTGTGGGTGGATAAGGGACGGCTTGGCGCATGTGTTGTTAATGTAACCGCCTGAGGCCATCTATCCATCCGTCAGTGGCCATCCATCCATCCGCCAGAGGCCATCCATCCATCCGTGGCCACGCCGCATGTGCTCGCCGTGCCTCATCTCCGTCTACGTCTCCCCTTACCCCGCCGTGCGCCTCTTTGGATGGCAGGAACCGGTCGGCCCGACAAACAAGTGTCAGCTTTGGATGAAGCTCCTGGGGAGGCATGGCGCATGCAGCACTGCACAGCATGCACCCGACTGCATGGCTTGAGCCACCATGGCGTGCGCAGGAGTACGATGAGGCACCTGCCGCAACAAGATACCGTATGAGGCAACAAGGAGGAGCGCTCTGGGGGAGGACACCACAGGCTCATAGCCCCGCATATGAAATTATTTTAGGCAACAAAATATGTGCTGCTGCTGATACAGGTATTTATTGCTTGGTACCGTATGTGCAACGGGTTGCTTAGGCCAACCAGAGCAGCACGGCACATTGCCTCCTTGATCACCCTCTCTGCATGCTTGCAGCATCTTGTGTGTGCATGTGGTTTGTACTACCGTAATCCCCCGTATATAACACCCTAGGGTGTATATAAAATTTCACTAAAAAAATGACAGGGTCTTAACAGTGGCCCGGAAAAAATAGTGCCCATGTGTTATGTAAAATGCAATTTGAATTTGAGTGTTCCAGGCTATTTTAGCTGACAACTGTGCGGAGCGGCTGCTAACGAGGCATATCATCAACTGAGACGAAACTTATGAACCAGGCGTCGTTGGCCAATCCCTGCTGAGTGCTCTGGTCAGGGCCAGGTTCGTGCCGCACCTGCGACCGTCCAGACCTGAGAAGATTTCGCTCGGGAGGATTTTGACCGTCAAATCACAACAGAATCCGCGACTTCGACGGTCGAAATCCTCCCAAGTCTCGACCTTTGCTGACGTTTCGATTTCGCGCTGCAAATTGTGTTGATGTTTCTGCCCCTTTTTTCGCTGCTAATGGTAGTTGACATTGCGTTTTTCATCCTGTTCGTTTTTTTTTTTTTTTTTCAATCGAGCTGAGCTTGGAAAACTACGAAATACTTTTCTTTGCTGCATAAAACGAGGAGGGTGTTATGTAAAATGCAACCCCCGAAAAGCGGGTGCTCTCCTAAATGCACCCTATCATAAGCTCTCCCCCGCATAAACCACCCGCGGAGTGACTATTTCGGCGGGTGTTATATACGGGGGATTACGGTACTACACCTTGCCAACCTTCCCCACAGTTCCGAAATTCGGAGGCAGTATCCCAAGGTGCTTCCCATCCTGTTTGCTACTGGCGTTGATCGCACTTACGGGACACAACGCAAGATCTCCAACACTTGCGGAACGCACATTGCCTTCCTTCCCCACTGATCGTGCACCCTACAGCATGTCCTCATCACATGACACACCATCTCCCCCCTGCTATTCACTGTTGTGTGCTCTGAATGCATTCGCAGGTGCTATGGGATGGGACGCATCGACTCTTTGTTCCCACCCTGACACCCCCCAGCGGCACCCTTCAGCCCCCAGCTGAACCCTTCAGCCCCCAGCTGCATGTCATAAAGTCACCAGTCCTAACCACTGGGACAAGAACGGATATCCTCAAGAGAGTTAGGCTCCATATTCTCAGAGTAACGAATTAGTTCGAATGAGAGATACATGGTGGATTTGTGCTAAAGGGTTGTACTCTCTAAGAGTACGCACCTATCTAGCCTATAGTAACATATACAGATATGTTTGACACACCCCCTAGACTAGATGAGGGGCAATGCCGGGCAAGAGACATGCAGCTCAGGATGGCACTACTAGTCCAACCTCTGAGGCACAGTCCGAAGACCAGTCAGCAAGAGTACAAACTAAACAAGAGTAACCCAGGGCGGCACTATTAGTCTGGCCACTAGAACAAGAGCCACAAAGCCAGTCAAGGTAATATAAGAGGAAGTATACATCAGGGTCATAGCATGTAAGAAGCTACAGGAACTAGACCAAAATGTACGCAGTACCGCTGATGGTCTTTAGGCGCAAGCGCCTTCGTACAGATATCAGGTGTGTTGGCACCGGAGGCCAAGTGTACTACGTGGGCCAGGCGGCGCTGCTGTAGCTCGCGCAGGAGAAAGTACCGCTGCTCGATGTGCTCCGCTCTGCTCTCCAGTCGAGGCTCCTGACACAGGAGCATCATGACCTTGTTGTCAGCGCACAGGACCGGGGCAGAGCTAGGTCGCTCACCTAAGTCTGTGAGCAAGAAGGTCAGCCAGCGGAGCTCCTGTGCCACCATGGCAGCAGTGTATATCTCAGCCTGACAGCTAGACTGGGCAACAGACGACGAGCGAGTGGACCTCCACGAGATGGCACCTGCACCAAGGCTAAAGCATTAGCCCTACGAGAACCTGAGCGTCTTAGCGTCGTCTGCCCATGAAGCGTCTGTGTGCCTTGAAATGATCCCTGGCCTGCGTCCTCCTAACACTAGCCCCATGCCCGATGTACTTGCTAGACAACGCCAAACCCTCTTAGCTGCCGACCAGTACGGTGGTCGGTGCCTGCCGGTGGCCACAAAGCGAGCTAGGATGCTGGGAAGGTATGCGAGATCTGGACGAGTGCAAGTCATCACGTACATGAGGCAACCCACCAGCTCTGCGTACCGACCACTAGCCTCTACAGACTCTTCAGGGATTGGAGTCGAGAGCCTTTGATCTACAGGCAGAGATGTGGGTTGTGCAGAGGAGAACTGAAGACCGAACCTCTGAAGGACCTGGAGCACCAAGTGTGACAGTGTGAGAGTGATGGTGCACCCTGCTCTGTCCCTGGAGATCTGCAGGCCAAGGTAGCAGCGCATCTCTTCTAGGTCAGTGCAGGTTTGTCTCCTCAGCAGCTCGGCCTTCACGGAGGCCAGTGAGTCTCTGTCTACAGTAGCGAAGACCAGGTTGTTTACGCAGACAAGGATGTAGAACGGAGTCTGGACTAAACGAACGAAGAGCGAAGGGTCTGCAGAAGACGGGAAGAACTGCATGTCAGCTAACGTAGCACGAAACGCATCGTGCCACTCGCGTAGCGCCTGCCGCAGGCCGTAAACAGGTGCCGAAAGAGCCATTGGGTCCCCGGGCCGAAGGTGCCGATGGAACCTGGCGGGCGACGCAGGTAGACCTGCTCATGCAGACTGCCCTGGAGAAACGCGGTAGAGAAGTCGAGAAAGTGCAACACGTAGTCAAGTTGTGTTGCTACGTATAGCAGCGCTCGAAGAGTAGTCATCTTCGAGGTCAGGGCGAAGGTCTGACAGAAATCAACACCCTCGCGCTGACTGAAGCTTCTGGCAACGTAGCATGCCTTGAACACCGGCGGCTCTCCAGGAGGGCGCTTCACCTTGAAGAGCCACCGACCATCGACTACGTTCACCCCAGGTGAGGGAACTGCGTCGACATAGGTGTCGGTGGATCTCCAAGATGCCATCTCCTGCTCCATGGCAGCTATCCACTGAGAGGCCCAGGGTCGCGAGGTCGCCTCAGCGTAAGTGCGAGGGGTCCGGATGTGAAAGGCGTCTGGGTCACCCTCAGGGACTAGCAGCATAGAGCAGAGATGAGGCGCGACCTCGGACAGGTAAGCAAGCTCGTACTACCGGTCCTCCAGGACGTCATTGCCAAGGGCAGGAGCACCCCCGACGGACGGAGGACGGGCACGGTCAGAGACCAGAGCGGTGGCATAGCCAAGGTGGCGGGAAGAGGCAAAGTCAGTGACGGCAACGACAAGAGCGTCAAGACTCGAGACAGTACCGGACGGGTCGGTAACGAGGGATGCAAGGACCTGAGGAACAAGAGGACAGGCGGCATGGAGGAAATCAGACAGGGGAGGCAGAGCGACAACCAGCGACGACGGAGGAGGCGACGCGTGGGAACAAAGCAACATAGGGTGGAGCGCTGGATAGGAGAGACTGGACGAGCACGAGAGGGACGGCGAGACTAGAAGTGGGACAGAGGCGTCAAGTTAGGAGACATAGGAGGACACACAGGAGGAGAACGAGGGGGGAAACGATCCGGAGATGAATCCGATGGAGGAAACACAGGGCCGTACACGGGCGGGGGAGGCACAGAAGGGCAGTCAGGGGAGGGAAGATCGAGGAGGCGAAGAGCGGACACAGGCAGCGACTGCTATTCCTGCGCCACACCGACACCAAAACCTCCGGCTGCACCACAGCTACCTCCAGGATGCTCCACGACAGCACCCCTAGAACAGGAACCCTCTCCAGCACTGGTGCCACCCCCAGGACCACCGAGACAAGCCACGACAGTAACCCCAGGACTAGCACCCCCAAAACCAGCACCCCCAGAACCAGCACCACCAGAACTCCCGGACCACTTCGGCGGCTGCTGCTCCGGCGGCTGCTGCTGCGGCGGCGACGGCGGAGACTGCTGCTGCGGCTGCGGCGGCAACGACGGCTGCTACGGTGATGGCGACGACGGCTGCTGCGGCGGTGGCGAAGGAGGAGACACCGGGGTGGAGACAGGCGGCGAATTCGGAGCCGTAGGGCCCCCGGAGTCAGCCGACTCCTCCAATGGGACAACCAACGGGAGGGGATTGACGTGAGACACACCAGATGGGGCAGGACGGGGAGGAAGAGGGGCAGGGGCTACCGGGGGAGTGGGGACCAGGAACAGGGGCGGGGCAACCGGGAGACCTCGGTGGGGAAAGCGGGTGTAGACAGACTCGTCAAAAGTGACGTCAGGAGAGTGAAAGAAGCGGTAAGACGGCGGGTGGTAAAAGTGCCAGTCAGACACGTCCAGGGGGAAACCAACGAAGATACAAGGGACGGTGCGGGTTGTGAGCTTGTTCCTGCTAGAGGCACGAGCGTGAGCAAGGCAGCCCCAGACATGGAATGCAGACATGTCACCAGGGAACCCGGTCCAGAGAAGGGTCGGCAAAACCTTCGGCCACTGGGAGTGTGGCCACAGGTTAAGCTGGTGAGCGGCGTAGCGAACAGTGAACGACCACAGAAAATGGGGTGCACCGGCATGGATCATGGAGGTACGAGCCACCTCCATGACCAAACCGATGCGTCGCTCAGGGAACCCATTCTGCTGCGGTGAGTCTGGCAGGGTGTACGACTGGGTGATGCCCTCTGCACGATACAATTGGCCAAGCCGACCAGAGGCGAACTCACCACCAAGGTCGAGTGAAGACGCAGCACAGGGAGGTCGCGGTGGACTCGCGCAGCTACGACCCACAGGATAAGAATGGCCGGCATGCCGGCCTTCCAATTAAGGGGAAACACCGTGGTGTAGCGCGTGTAGTCGTCCACAAGCACTAGAAAATAGCGCTCTCGACGCGGCCCAGGGACCGGGGTTGGGCCCCAAACGTCCAAGTGCAGGGTCTGAAGTGGCGCATTGGTAGGGGGAAGTGAGGAGGAGTGAAGAGCACGGCGCAGCCGGCCCTCGACGCAAGGCATGCACGGCGGCATAGGCGAGGGAGGGAGGGCAGGGAGCGACGCAGGGAGGCCAAAGACAAGACCGTGATGAGACATGTTGCACAGATAAGGCAGTGCGGGGTGACCGAGACGGTGGTGCCACAGAAGCGACGGGCGGGTGAGCGATCGCCACGAGCAAGCCGCAGCAACCT